AAAAGCTAATAGGAAAATAACTTTCAGTCATGATTCACAATTTCTAGAAAATAAAAATGGCTCCTAAACTATGGAAAGAGGAGAAATGCAACTCATCATAAAAAACATGCCAATTAAAATTACAGAGTTATATTTTACTTACCAAAATATAAAAGGCCATAAAGTTTGATAGCTTATAGGGTGGGGATGGAGTGGCATCAGGTACCCTCACTCATTTCTGCTGAGGATGCAGATGGATACAACTTCCAGTGAAGGCAATTTTCAACATATGTAAGCATATATAAAGTAGCATCATTTTCTCTCTGTAATTCCTCATCTAGGAATTTATCTTAGAGATATATTTGTGCATGTTCAAAAGATCTACATACTAAGTTAATGAATGCAGTGTTATTTACAGTACAAGACTGGTGACAGCCAAAATGGCCATCAACACTGTAAAAATTATGGTCTATCTATGCGATAGAATACTCTGTAGCTGCACAGAAAGAACAACAAACCTAATATAAAAGGCCCTCCAGAATTTGTTAGATTTTTTAAAAAGAACGCATGCCAATGTATATTGTATGACAAAAAATATATAGTTGTTTTATTATTAAATATTTGTGAATTAATATAAACTTATTACTGAGTATAATAGGATATGTCTTTGTTAACAAGGCAAGGATGCCTGAGGGTCTAAAATGGGAATGACAGTTTTCAGCGCATGCATTTAAAAATTATTTTTTAAAGCTTTGACTTCATTACCATGTCACAAATAAATTTTCAAACGAAAAACATAAATTTAATGATCTAGCTAAGAGAGGGAGATAGAGATATGAGAAGATTGAGGCAGGATGAAAAAATGAAGACAATGAGTACAGAAAACTTTTTGGAGAATTTTTTTTTTCCAAAGGAAAGAAGACAGGTCAGGCTGTGGATAGAGATGAATGGTTGCTTAGATGGTGTTTTAAGCCAAGAATAGGATGCGGTGTTTCAATTACAGTAGAAGGATCCATTAGAGAAGGAAACATTGAAGATGCAGAAGGGAGAAGTAATAATGCTATGAAATGTTTCTAGGGAGGGAACGGGGAAACTGCACAAATGGAAAGGGTGGTTTCAAACAGGAATTTGCAGAGCCCATTTCCTGGCATGAGAGAAAATACAGAGAGATGTGCTCAGAGGCAGATGGGCAGGTAGGTTCGCTCTGGGGAGATTGAGTAATTCTCAGAAGAGCATCACCTGACAGAGATTTAAAAAAAATAAAAAGTACGCAGTTTCAGGAGAGAGAATATGGCGTGAAGATTTTCCTTTGGAGAGTGAGAGGCAATTATGGAAATGTCACATGATGGTTCAGGAGATATAAGTGAATACTTCAGGCTCAAGGTCATAAATGTACAGTGAAACCGCTAGGCATGGTTGTGTGTTGAGCTCCAGCCACACTCTGTGCTATGGGAACAGGCATGAAGTTAGTGGAGAGCTCGATTCAACCAGGGCAAAAGATGAACATATGCTTCAGCAAGGACATATATGCATGACGAATAAACACACAAAAAGATGCTCAACATCACTAATGTTTAGGGCAATAAATAAAAACTACAATGAGATACCAGTCTACCCTCTTAATATAGCTAAAATATAAAATGCTGATAGTTTTAAATATTGGCTGAGATTTGAAGGAATTGGAGGTCTCATACACTGCCAGTGAGAAAGCAAAATAGTAGAGCTACTCTGGAAAATCCTTTTGCATTTTCATACAATCCAGCAATTTAGCCATTAAATTTATCCAAGAAACTGGAAAACTTTGTTCACTTAAATATCTATACACATATGTTTATATTTGTTTTATTTTTAAATGCCACAATAGAAAAAACAGCAATGTCCTTTCGCTTATGATTAGTGAAACGAAGCATAGTATATCCATACAATGGAACACTACTCAGCAGTTTAAAAATAAATCAGCTATAAGCTATTGATACCTGCAAAAAGTTGGGTGGATCTTGAGGACATTATGCTGAATTTAAAAAGCCAAAGTCAAAAGATTAGATACAGTATGATTCCATTTAGTAACACTTTTGAAATGACAATGATTAGAGGGGTTTGGGAAAAAAACAAACTGCGGGTGTGACAGTAGCAGGAGCCCAAGGGAATTCTTCTGTGGTGAAGAAATACTTCTATATTCAATGTGATTGTGTTTATGAATCTACACCTGTGACAAAATATTATGGAATGAAACATAGAGGAATATCTCACTCCAAAAATGAGTGCATGCAAACACTAATAAAATTTGGTAACAATGTACTGTAGATACTCGGTGAAATCTCATAACTTTTGTAATGTAGATAATTAGATGGTACCAATGTCAATTTCCTGGTTTTAGTGCTACATTTACTTAACATGTCAGTATTGCTATAGGTTGGGTGATGGGCATACAGGAACTCTCTGTACCATTTTAGTAACTTCTTCATAGTCTACAATTAATTCAGAATGAAAACTTAAAAGCAACTGAAATGCCTCTTCCTTGTATGGACTACCTTTATGGATATTGAAGTCACCAAGAATGAGGACATGGGGTATGCTGGAAGGAAGTTTGTAAACCAGGCACATAGGCTAGAAGGTAATATAATTAGCATTCATACACCCAACACAAAATTAAGCACATATTAAATTTTTATCATATTTGTTTCTAGTAACTCTTAAAAATAAATACATACATTTTACAGATACAATTTAAGGCTGAATCCTACATCTTTACTCTCACCAATAATTACACATATCTTTGATAAGAAGGCAAGGGTGCCTGCACACCTGGAATGGGAATGACAACTGTCTTCAACTTCAGAATGTCTGAGTTTGGTATGTATTATTCTGTCACATGTGTAGCAGCATGTTAAAACAGGAATATTAAACTAAATTTCAAGTCACTATAAATATTACGTTACAAAAGAGTTGCAAGGTGACACAGAATTTGAATAGCAATTTTTGGACATCCATATCAAGGCTATGCAGAGTTTAGATTTGAATTTTTATGTGACAAATAAAATGTTGAATTTAATTCAAAAATTAACTATCTCCCCTACTCCCAGTATGGGCCTTTTGTAGGTAAAAATGCTGCTCCAGAAAAGAGGCTGCATTCCATTGCTTCTCTCTTCTCCCCTAACCCCCACCTGTTTTATTATTATTATTTTAATTTTTTAATTGTTTTATCTATGCCTTCTGGCCCTGGAGGGCTGGATGCATCCCAGTGAGGAGGGTAAGGAGAGCAAGGCATTGACTTTGTGGCATGTCCTGTTGGCCTGACTTGCCTGGCCCTCTCTGGACTTTACGTTATTATAGAGCTCACTCCTACAAATATCATAAAACTAACATCAAGCTCTATCACTTCAAGACCACAAAAGATAATGCTCATTATTCAGAGCACTCCAGTCTTGTGATTCTATTTAAGAGGGATCTTGCCATCATGACCAAATATGTAGAGTGACACAAGGAATAAAACTCTGGTGTGAATTATTCACCATTTCCTAAAAAACTCTATGCTTTTATTAACAGTGCCACTGTAAATTATCTCTTCTCCCATTTCCATCTGTGCAGATCCTATTTACCTCTCCTTGCCCAATATAAAAATTTAAGTGACTGGCACAATTTACAGAGGGTATAATTATAATAATAATGCTAGGTCAATTGTAGTCATCAGTTAAAATTCTACCTATTACATGAAGCCTTCCATGATCCACTCACTTCTACACACACACTCAGGAATGAGATCTACTCTGTCTCTGCTCTCCTTCCTTGTGTTTGCATCCTGCAAAGCTCCAGAATAACTGAACCAATATGATGGGCATGAGCATTGAGATTTCTTCTTCTATACTCTGCTGTAACTGCTAGATAACAGCAAACAAATGTCATCTCTGTCTATAGCCAGCATTGATAACATTGACACTAATTGTGCCCAACTGATACCACACTTTCATACAGAACAAGCATCAGAGCAGTCTCTTTGGATTCTAGGTCTCTTCCACATAGGTGGGAAGAACACATGCTTACTGAGATTATAGTCACTGTGTAGTGACATAAATTTCTCAGGCAACCTGGATCACAACACTAGTTATCTTCAGTCCATGGTTATGGTAAAGTCACACTTTACCCACATGTTCTGAAAAGAGATACCTGAACACAAATGCACAAATGGCACAGTTTCAGACTGGGGCAATCCCATAACCTCACTTTTGCTTGGTTTGCCTGGAATAAGCATGCGACCCATGTTGGCCATGCAGTCAGCTTGAGAATCCCAAATCCCTGAAACCAGGTCCAGTGTTCTTCTCATTCTAGCACTTGCACATTCTTCCCTCCGTATGCTGGGATTTCTAGAAGCTGAACTGGGTTTGCCTGGAGGCAAGGGCTTCTTCTGCAGGAGTGCAAGGTAGTGGTAGTAGGTAGTTCTGCAATGCCTGTGACCTAAGCACCTACAGGATCTCTAGAAAATGCTTTCAGGAATTGTGCATTGGTGTGATGTTAGACTATAGACTGAGCACTATTGTAAGATTTAGCCTTTTCATAAAACCAATTTGTGAGAGTGTTTTTATGAAGAGAGAGTCTGTCTCTAAGGACATTATTTTGCTTCATATCTGATAATTCAATGGAATGTAGAGATAACAGAGTTCATTTATTCAGAATCGAGCTCCTAACTTCAGTAATGCCTCCAGTCATAGAAGGGAATATGGTTTCAGGGGAACATAGTCTGAGAGATTAATAAGGAAACTTCCTTTTTGATACCATCAGGTAGGAAACATGTATAAATATGAGTTTAGCGTTGTGGACAGGAACTCCTATTATCACAATGAAAATTGCAGAAAAAGTTTTCGGTATAAGATAAGAGGAAAAATGTGTTGGTAATATCAAGGAGAATCTAAACATTGTACTGTCAGACTAATGCTTTCTGTGGGTGAAAACTGGAACTGTCAGATTAGATAAACATCTATTCAACGATCTTGAGTTACCACTGAGACATTGCTGAGGCACAACACTAAGAAAACACATGTAATTGTCAAGGGTGGCAGGACAGTGTTGCTCTCAAAGTCCTGCCTGACTGACAGGGCAGAGGCTCTTCCTCACTGCTCCAATCGGCTTCCCCACAGCTCCAGGGTTTCCTGAGGAAGACGCCGTCCACCTTCATCTACCTCAGGCGTGTCCTGCAGAGCCCTCTGGAGAACCAGCTTCAGGTTCTGCCTATTTTGACGCTGCCTAAAGGAGCCCACGAAGACGTAAATGATGGGGTTGGCACTACTGTTTAGAGAGGACAGGAAAATGGAAACTAGATGGACATGACAGAAAATGCCTTCCAAATCCAGGTGAATCCCAGTAGACAGGGCCCACTGAATGCTGAAGGGCAGGCCGTAGAGTAGGAAGACCAGCACTTTGAGCAGGATGGTCATGTATCTTCTGGGATCCACAGAGTCCTGACCAGCACGACCAGGCTGGACTTACAGAGAACCATACATAAAAAAATCAGCCACAGGACTGTGATGAAATCTGATGTTTGGCACCAAAGAGAACCAGGATCACTAAGCAGGAAGTCACAGAACCTCCACTGCAGGATGCTCCACAGCAGGGACAGGACCCATAGCAGGAAACACACGACTACTGACAGGTGTGTGGGGCGGCGGCAGCGGTACCAGATGGGCCACAGGACTGACAGGCAGCGCTTGGTGCTCATGGTGCTCAGCATGCTCAGGCCTGTAAAGTAGAGAAAGGTCATCACAGGAATGAGGATTTTGGAGATGGGATGACAGATATTGATGAGTGAGGCGGAACATATAACGTTGCCGCTGAGGAAGAGGAAGTCGGCCATGGACAGGTTGAGGATGTAGATGGAGAAGGCGTTCCTGCTCATGCAGAAGCCCAGGAGCCAGAGCACAACTGCGTTTCCTGTCAGCCTGACAAGGGAAATGATGCACGTCAGGACCGTGAGGCTCAGGGTCCGCTTATAGCAAGGAGTCTCCTCAGTTCCGTTGATTGGTGTCAGTTCTGTATCCAAGGCTGGGATGGTTGGATTCATGCTCAGAAACCCTAATCTGGTGTCCCTGGGAACACAAACCAGATGTGATCACCAGCTGTATGATCTCTGATTCTCCCCACCACCCTGCCATGTGGGATTTACTGTTCTCATTTTAAAGAGGAGAGAAACAGAGGCTCACAGAGAATAAGTCACCTATCAAAAGGTGGGAGTCCTCAAATCCAGTTTGAAATCCAGTTCTTGCTGACTCTGAAGCCTGACCTCTCCTTATTGCCACACAAGTTCTGCACTGACATGGGAATAACATTAGGATCAAAACACCCCCACTCAAGTGGCCAGGGCTGTGGACCCGATCATTACTCTATCCTGGGCCTGAAATTTTCTCTCAGGTGGAGGAATTCAGATACACAAAGAGGTGGTTGTGACACCCCTCATGACTAGGACTGGTCATCCATGGACAGGAAAGAAGACCATGAACTATGAACTGGAGGAAAATGTGACCTTTCCTAGGATAAACGTGAAAATGGCTGGGCCTGGTGGGTGAGAAATAACTCAGTGTGTCTGTCATTGCAGACAGGACCACATTTTACGTTTTATACTCCTGGTGTCTATTTTCATGAGCAGCACACTGTGCTCTTCATAAATATTCATTCAATGAATGAATGCATGCATGAGGAGCCTAATGGTAATGGTAGATTTTGGTGAAATGGAAAATAAAAATGAAAGCACAATGTAAGGCATTAGAACACACATTTGTAATTATATGAAGAGAATTTCATTAATCAGAAATCTATTTGTGGACAGCTCTATCTGTGTTGAGAAGAATGATTGATGTGTGCCCAAAATCAGAAAATGACCACTGATGTACCTTTGAAATGAAGTGTCAGTGTAGCTTTGCTGAACACCTAGAAGCATTTTTGTACACAATGTTTGGGTAGGGTGTGGTTCTGAGCTGAACTGTTCAGCAATAGAATAGAGGAAAGAGTAAGTGTGAGTGAGGTCTGAGTGCAACTGAAGGAATATCTATGGGGGACTAGTAAGTGTTCTGCTCCGTATACACAATGTAATCCCATTTCTTTCTCTCTTTCAGGAGATCTGTGGTTCATTTCTCTGTTGATGAAAGTATTTGTATTAGCAGAGTCCATGAGGGAAATAGGGCTAGTATAGGGCTTGGAGTATAAAGAGAGATTCAGGCAGACTTCAACTGGAGAATGAGGGCTGGGTCTAATCTGGGAGAATAACAGCAGCTGATTGAGAGTTTATTAGGTATTGCCTCTTTCAATTATCAGAAGAGCCTATGAGGTAAGAATGAGTATTATTCCCAGGCCAATAATGCATTGGAGCACAAAAAGAATGAATTATTTGTCCTGGGACTTATATAGTATGAATTTGAGCCCAGTGGGGCTGACTCATGATCCAGTCTTTGACCAGCCCTTTCGAACCAGCACAATTCTGTGTCGATTATACATGTTAGAGGGAGTAAAGCAACAGAGTGATTCTCAAGTAAAATCCAAGTTGGCAGTCAAAATTGTGGGTTGAAAAAAATACCAAACTCCAGATAGAGAATGAGAAGCTAATCAAATAGGGAACAATATAGAGGAGAGTGAAAGTCATTTAGGAACAAATTCAGGAGTTCCTTTTTGCCTATCTGAGGCCACCTTTGCTCTGGAATTCAAGAATTCACATGGACAGGAGGCTTCCATGTGGAAAGAAGATGCACCCTCTGCTGGGAGTACAGAGAATCGTTTCAGTAGGATTGATACCAATTCTTCTTTGAATGTCTGGTAGAATTCAGCTGTGAATCCATCTAGTCCTCTACTTTTTTTGATGGCAATTTTTAAAATTTTTATTTCAATCTCACTGTTTTTTATTGGTCTGTTCAGAGTTTCTCTTTCTTTTTGGTTTAATTTACGAGATTTATATATTTCCAGGAATTTATGCATATCCTCTAGGTTTTCTGGTTTGTGTATGTAAAGGTGTTCACAGTAGCCTTGAATGATCTTTTGTATTTCTGTAGTGTTGGTTGTAATATCTCCTGTTTCATTTCTAATTGAGCTTATTTGGACCTTCTCTGTTATTTTATTGGTTAACCTCATCAATGGTCTATCAATTTTGTCTATATTTTCAAAGAACCAGATTTCTGTTTCACTTATCTTTTGTTTGTTTGTTTGTTTGTTTCAGTATCATTTAATTCTGCTCTGATCTTTGTTATTTCTTTTCTTCTGCTAGGTTTGGGTTTAGTTTGGTCTTGCTTCTCTAGTTCCTTGAGATGTACCTTAGATTGTCTATTTGTGCTCTTTCAGACATTTTGATATGTGCATTTAATGCTATAAACTTTCCCGTTAGCACCACTTTTGCTGTATCCCAGAGGTTTTCTTCTTCTCCTTCTTATACTTTAAGCTTTAGGGTACATGTGCACAACGTGCAGGTTTGTTACATATGTATACATGTGCCATGTTGGTGTGCTGCACCCGTTAACTCGTCATTTATATTAGGTGTATCTCCTAATGCTATCCCCCTGCCACAATAGGCCCCGATGTGTGATGTTCTCCTTCCTGTGTCCAAGTGATCTCATTGTTCAATTCCCACATATGAGTGAGAACATGTGGTGTTTGGTTTTCTGTTCTTGTGATAGTTCGCTGAGAATGATGGTTTCCAGCTGCATCCATGTCCCTACAAAGGACACAAACTCATCCTTTTTTATGGCTGCATAATATTCCATGGTGTATATGTGCCACATTTTCTTAATCCAGTCTGTCACTGATGGACATTTGGGTTGATTCCAAGTCTTTGCTATTGTGAATAGTGCCACAATAAACATACATGTGCATGTGTCTTTATAGCAGCATGATTTATAATCCTTTGGGTATATACACAGTAATGGGATGGCTGGGTCAAATGGTATTTCTAGTTCTAGACCCTTGAGGGATCACTACACTGTTTTCCACAGTGGTTGAACTAGTTTACAATCCCACCAACAGTGTAAAAGTGTTCCTATTTCTCCATATCCTCTCCAGCACCTGTTGTTTCCTGACTTTTTAATGATTGCCATTCTAACTGGTGTGAGATGGTATCTCATTGTGGTTTTGATTTGCCTTTCTCTGATGGCGAGTGATGATGAACATTTTTTCATGTGTCTGTTGGCTGTATGAATGTCTTCTTTTGAGAAGTGTCTATTCATATCCTTTGCCCACTTTTTGATGGAGTTGTTTGTTTTTTTCTTGTAAATTTGTTTGAGTTCTTTGTAGGTTCTGGATATTAGCCCTTTGTCAGATGAGTAGATTGCAAAAATTTTCTCCCATTCTGTAGGTTGCCTGTTCACTCTGATGGTAGTTTCTTTTGTTGTGCAGATGCTCTTTAGTTTAATTAGATCCCATTTGTCAACTTTGGCTTTTGTTGCCATTGCTTTTGGTGTTTTAGACATGAAGTCCTTGCCCATGCCTATGTCCTGTATGGTATTACCTAGGTTTTCTTCTAGAGTTTTTATGGTTTTAGGTCTAACATTTAAGTCTCTAATCCATCTTGAATTAATTTTCATATAAGGAGTAAGGAAAGGATTCAGTTTCAATTTTTTACTTATGGCTAGCCAATTTTCCCAGCACCATTTATTAAATAGGGAATCCTTTCCCCATTACTTGTTTGTCAAAGATCAGATGGCTGTAGATGTGTGGTATTATTTCTGAGGACTCTGTTCTGTTCCATTGGTCTATATCTCTGTTTTGGTACCAGTACCATGCTGTTTTGGTTACTGTAGCCTTGTAGTATAGTTTGAAGTCAGGTAGCATGATGCCTCCAGCTTTGTTCTTTTGACTTAGGATTGTCTTGGCAATGCAGGCTCTTTTTTGGTTCCATACGAACTTTAAAGCAGTTTTTTCCAATTCTGTGAAGAAAGTCTTTGGTAGCTTAATGGGGATCGCATTGAATCTATAAGTTACCTTGGGCAGTATGGCCATTTTCACGATATTGATTCTTCCTGTCCATGAGCATGTTATGTTCTTCCATTTGTTTGTGTCCTCTTTTATTTCACCGAGCAGTGGTTTGTAGTTCTCCTTGAAGAGGTCCTTCACATCCCTTGTAAGTTGGATTCCTAGGTATTTTATTCTCTTTGAAGCAGTTGTGGATGGGAGTTCACTCATGATTTGGCTCTCTGTTTGTCTGTTATTGGTGTATAAGAATGTTTGTTATTTTTGCACATTGATTTTGTATCCTGAGACTTTGCTGAAGTTGCTTATCAGCTTAAGGAGATTTTGGGCTGAGATGATGGAGTTTTCTAAATATACAATCATGTCATCTGCAAACAGGGACAATTTGACTTCTTCTTTTCCTAATTGAATACCCTTGATTTCTTTCTCTTGCCTGATTGCCCTAGCCAGAACTTCCACCACTATGTTGATTAGGAGTGGTGAGAGAGGGCATCCCTGTCTTGTGCCAGTTTTCTAAGGCAATGCTTCCAGTTTTTGCCCATTCAGTATGATATTGGCTGTGGGTTTTTCATAAATTGCTCTTATTATTTTGAGATATGTTCCATCAATACCGAATTTATTGAGGGTTTTTAGCATGAAGGGCTGTTGAATTTTTTCAAAGGCCTTTTCTGCATCTATTGAGATAATCTTGTGGTTTTTGTCTTTGGTTCTCTTTATATGCTGGATTACGTTTATTGATTTGTGTATGTTGAGCCAGCCTTGCATCCCAGGGATGAAGCCCACTTAATCATGGTGGATAAGCTTTTTGATGTGCTGCTGGATTCAGTTTGCCAGTATTTTATTGAGGATTTTTGCATCGATGTTCATCAGGGATATTGTTCTAAAATTCTCTTTTTTTGTTGTGTTTCTGCCAGGCTTTGGTATCAGGATGATGTTGGCCTCATAAAATGAGTTAGGGAGGATTCTGTCTGTTTCTATTGATTGGAATGGTTTCAGAAGGAATGGTACCAGCTCCTCCTTGTACCTCTGGTAGAATTCGGCTGTGGTATCCCAGAGGTTTTAATAGGTTGTGTCCCTATTATGGTTCAGTTCATAGAATTTTAAAATTTCCATCTTGATTTCATTGTTGATCCAATGATCATTCAGGAGCAGGTTATTTAATTTCCATGTATTTGCATAGTTTTGAAGGTTCCTTTTGGAGTTGATTTCCAATTTTATTCCACTGTAGTCTGAAAGAGTACTCGCTATAATTTTGATTTTCTTAAATGTATTGAGACTTGTTTTGTGGCCTATCATATGGTCTATCTTGGAGAATATTCCATGTGCTGATGAACAGAATGTATATTCTGTAGTTG